TGTTAATATATATTTTAAAATATTTTTAATAAAAAAAAATTCATATATATTTCCAAGAGAAATCAGCCTTTCTTAGCTTCCTACTCAGAACACTATCCTGTTGAAAAGTATTCTCTTTGTGATGTTGAACCCCAAATCTGAATTATTTTTGCATGGCAATGTTTTCAAATTTGGGAAGCTAAAATTAGGCACTTTCAACATGTGTTCTCAGACCTTATTTTGATTTTATTACAACTACTACACAAGGTTTGTAAATGGCTCCAGAGAGCTTTAGAACAGGTGTGAGAATGGGCAGGATCTCATGAATCATTACGGCTATCCTTGCAGAGGACAAACTGGTGTCTGCAACCCAGAAAGCTTTACAACAGACATATCCTCTATGTGATGGTACTTACAATAGGTAAATCCTTTAAAGGTGACCCCAGAACTCAAGGGGCGGTGAAGGGCAATTTCACTGATGTAAGTGAAAGACATTTTTTCCATTACCAGACAAAGCTTTTCTCAGCTAGGAGGTTTTGTGGGCTGTTTCTAATTGTCCAGAAACAAAGCAATTTAATATTATTCTAGAACTTCAGTCATTGCTGTAGATACCAATCCTGCAACTGCAAAGAAACGGGCATCTTTATGGCCCATCTCCAAAACTGGGTTCTTTGTCAGAGGGTTTTGACTTGTCTAGGACACTAAAACCATGACTAGGAAGTCAGAGTACTGTTAAATGAGCCGCTGTGTGAATTTTAGTAGGCTTTGTCAGGATGACAGTGTGAGCTTGTTTCTCAAAACACTTCTTAGCAGCAGTTTTTCACAATCAGGTTTGGATATAGGGCCACACTTGTGGAGATTTCACAAGGAGGTTCAAACCTCCATCTGCTCTAAATAGTGACTCGCGGCTCAATCCAGGCACCGCCTGTGAGTGTCCGGAGGAGCCTGAGACGGCAGGTGCTATCAGGACATCCCCGGGGCTGAGCGAGCCCTCCTAGTCCGTCAGAGCATCCTGGCTGGAAAATCCTGGGAGCCCTGCGCTGGAGCTGGTGGTGCCATAGCAAAGACTTGCTATGGAGCAGCTGGGGGTGTGTCTCTGTTACTGGGTATCTCACAAAGCTGACACCAAATAAGACAACCCAAACCTCTCGGCTTTATTTCCACATGCACAGAGAGTCAGGCAACTAATGATCATTGTAAATTAGAGAGGTTAGGCAGAAAAATATAACCAGCCTCCAAAGAAGCAACTGCAATACCCACTCCTGTGGAATAAAAAATTATTTCTGTGCTGATCTACAAATCTCAATAGTGGGTCTTATGCTCCACTGAAAGAAAACTTAAACTATGAGTGTCTTTTCTTGGAATGCAGGTTAGTTTTACTTTTGGCTGTTTATATAGATTTCCCCCCTCCCCGCTCCCTTCTTTACATTGTTTACCCAGCTGAAAGCACGTAACTGTAACTGGTTTGTGGTCTTCCAACATCATTAACTCTTCAATTTTGTTTTTCTAGTGTTTATGAGAAAGGACGAAGCACATGAGGTACTGAAAGTCCATAAACGTGCTAACTATTTTCTAGAAGAGATTCGTCCAGGGAACTTGGAGAGAGAATGCAATGAGGAAAAGTGTTCATTTGAGGAGGCTAAGGAGATCTTCCATTCGCAGGAGAAAACCGTGAGAAACTTTATTTTAGGAAAAATAGAAGAAAGTTAATAGTGAGCTGTAAGTAATCCTTCCCAAGCCACTTGGCATGGCTGTGACAGGCCTCTGCCTGTGCATTCTGCAGCTTGGTAGTCAGGATCCAAGTACTCAAGTCAGGATCCTTGCACTCAAGGCACCTGTGAGAGCTCGCTTTCTAAGCCAGTGCTCAGCTTGTTACGTAAAGGTTAAACACAACTCCTTAAAAGTATCCCAAGCCCATTTCTGTGAGAGCCTCTATCCAGCAATGTGCTTCTGATGTTTTCAGAGGCCACTTGCTTGGTCAGACCCCTCCAAATAGAGAGGAGGAGCTCCTTGTTCCCAGGTCCCGATAGCCTCCAGCTGGGAAGCAGGGCTGCAGGCATTCTGCCAAGGACCTTCTGCTGAAGCAGAAGTTTGAAACTGCAATTTTAAATAGAGGTGCCTAATTTCACTTTTATCTAGCCCGAGTTGCTTAGGTGGTGTCTACATAAGCAATAGAAATGGCTCTTCAGAGAGAAGCAGTTGGTGCTGAGGACCTTGCATTGACGTGTTCTGGGGAAGGAAGGGGGTGTCACTTCACTCCTAGGCGGGTGCCACAGACCTTGCGCTGGCTGGAGCATTTATGGATCTTGGCTTTTAGCTTAATTGTCATTCCACTACAAGCCAGTTTATGCACTCTGTGGCTGGGCCACAATGCAAATGGAAGTGAGCTGCCTGGTGATGATCAGGAGGTCTGCTTCAAGAATATATTTCATGGTTCTAATCAAAATGTTAATTCAGATGCATCCTAAACAATGGTTTTCTAAATGAAATCTTCAGTAACTGGTATGATCACTGATTGACTGTTTTCTTCATTTGTGATTTCTTCTTGCAGATGGAGTTTTGGTTCAATTACAAAGGTAGGTAAAAAAAGGAATTTATTTTTTTAAAAAATCTGTTTCTTGTGTCCTTCCTGGATATAAAAGAATTATGTGGCAGTTTAAAGCCAGGTTTGTCTTAATTCCTGGAATTACACTATGTCTTGTTTCTTCTTCTTAGGTTTAAATCCATGTAGTACAAACCCCTGTAACAACGGTGGAGTCTGCAAAATAAGACACTACAACTACTTTTGCATCTGCCCCCCAAAATTTGGAGGAGACAACTGTGAAAAAGGTGAGTACAGGAACAGACATGTTGATGTTCATTGTGAAGGAAGGATTAAGGCTGGAATATTTGAGCTCGCAGGAAGGGAATCCTGTCGTGGCAGCAGCTGTAGCTACTTCTAGCTCTGTTGTGAGGAAGAAGAGGGTAGCACCGCCTGCCATCATACAGCAGCTGCAGCTCTGGGCTCCTGTGCTTATCTGTGCAAGCTGTGAGGAAGGCAGGTGCCCCTCTCCCCCCAGAAAGGATAGGGAATTACCTCATTTTAGCACGTCAGCGATAACAAATCTAGTAACTCCTGCCATAGATGCCTGCACTGGAGATCTGTCCTGATGAGGCCCTGTTCTCTTTATAGTGAGTAAACGCATCAAACAAATTAGTCAAAGCTTAGTGTAAACAAAAAAAATAAATAAATGTATATTTAAGTTGTAATATAAGAAGGCTGAAAAATGAAGTAGAAAAGCTGCCTCTCACTTACCAGATTTTTGGTTCTCTGAAATACAGTATCCAGTTTGCAAATGATGGAGGCATGAAATTACAGCAAAAGCCAAACTGAGGTGAAAACTACAAATCATAAGTAATTTTTTTTCCCCCAAGCACCTCCTCTGTTTATTTTTTTTTACCCTTTTCTTTTTTACAGTGAAGCAATTAAGCTTTTTTTTTTAATGCAACAGGAAAAAAAAAAAAGTATGAAAAAAAAAAAAATAAGTCACTTTCCAGCAGACTTGACCCCCCAGCAAAATGCCTTGTACTTCAAATCTGTCCTGCTGTAAGATTTGCAGAAAGATCAACACTGGATGCATTTAGCTGTGTCAGCTCCAGACAAAGCTAGCAAATAATTGAAATTAATAGTAGAAAGAGGAGACCCACAGTAGAGATAAGGCAGTTTGGTTTGCTGCAACTCAAGATGGCTTTTCTGGAACAGTGAGAGGTAGTTCCTTCTCTTTCCTTGCCGGATTTCAACAGGTATTTCCACCCCCACCCACCCCCTTTCTTTTATCCAATACCAGTGCTAGGAGCTGTGCGCTGCCCAGGGGGCTGCGTGTGGCCATAACTGAGTGAATGCCCGGGTGTTTCCATTGCAGAAAAGTTTGAATGCTGGTATAGGAACGGCGGGTGCTGGCAGTACTGCAGGGACAGCAGCAGCGCCTTTCACGTAGTATGTTCCTGCGGAAAGGATTACACCCTGCATGAGGATGGGAAGAGATGCGTGCAAGCAGGTAAAGGTTGGAGTTAAAGAGCAATCACAGGCGTTGTCTTTTCACTCCTTGCACAAAAGCTACACATGCTGTAGTCCTGCAGCTTGCACTTTGTGTATAGGAAAGATCTGTCTTATTTTTTTTGCCTATGCCTATGTATTTTAAATTTTAAGGTGCCTCTGAGTCAGGTGTCTAATCCAGTGAGCACGTACTGGGCAAAGGGGCAGGGATGGGCCTGTGCCTTCTGACAAAGAGGAGCACAGGCTTAGAGCAACTTACCCGAGTTAATGAAGCTAAACCACAGTGTTGGGGGGGGGGGTGGCGTGTCTTTAAAACTTTGTGTTTAGGCATCCTGTCACAAGGGGAGCGCTGGGGTTGGAGTCTGTCCTGAAGAGCGCCCACAGCAGACTGCTCCTGGAGTAGCCAGCCATGCACAGCTGATGCCTGTGGTTCAGAAGAGGCACAGCCTTTGGAGCTGGACATGACACCACACATCCCAAGCCCAAAGCTTTATTTCTGTCTTTCCTCCCTCCAGCACCATTTCCATGTGGCCTGATTAAAATCAGGCAGGCTCCGGCAGAAGAGCGGCTGGGGCAGACAAGGCTCCCGAGGGGACTGCCTGAGCACGGGGATGATGTGGCCAAGTGGAATGAGAGCATGGAGGGCACAGTTAGCCAAACTGAGGTGGAACAAAGTGCTATTGGGGAAAATGAGACCTCAAAGGATGCGTTTGGGCAAAGCGTGCTCATGGAGGGTGACGCTGAACAACCCGAGGTGGCAGAAGACGCTTTCAGCTGGAACGAGACCCTGGGGGGATCCGTTACGCATAAGCCACTGGCGGATGGTGCTGCTGGGCAGGCAGTGCGTGTCCCTGAGCACCACGAGGCAGAGGAGGGGACCGCCAGGCCTGGGCGAGGCCAGGCTCCACAGAATGAGCCCACCCAGCACCCTGCGTGGCAGAACGAGACCACAGCACCTGCTGCCAGGCAGAAAGAAATGGTGGAAGATGCTGCTGGGCAAAACCAAACGGGGGTGAACGCTGGCCAGAACAGAACAGGGCCCATTCAAACCACGCATGACGTGCTCAGTCAGAGTGGTGGCTGGGGAAATGGTTCAGACATGCCTCAGTTCGGCCAGATGAACATCAGCGCTACACACAATGACTCCAGGATAACTGGAGGAACTTTGTGTCATCGTGGACATTGCCCCTGGCAGGTAATACTTGTCTTCCACTCTGGCCATAAATACCACACCTGAATGCTTTCTGCCTTTATTATTATCACTAGTTCCACCTGGAACAGAAGCAGCCATTTATAAAGGGTTTTTTTTCAAGTGGAGAGCAATCCAACCACATCTGTTTCTCAAACTTCTGCAAGTTTTTTTGATGCTATGCACCTTAGTTGCCTTATTTATCATTCTTGTCCCTATCCTAGATATAGGTGTTTTTGTGATCTCGACTTAATTCTTTCGCTCCTACCTACATAAATCAGATCGTCTGCTCTGTTATTCAGGGTCTTTGTTTCTAAACGTTCTTGGTGAAAAGCTGTGCTTCTAAATCCCTTTGGACTGGCTGACAGTATTTTTCACAAAGATAGTTCTATGACCAGGTGAGGTTCTTCATTAGCGTGCTGAGCACTTCCTGCTTCTTACAGTAAGGAAGGTAAAACCGAGAGGGCTCAAACATGAAGACAAGTGGCAAGTAGGCAAACCTCCCTGAAGTGTTTCTCTTATTTCCACTATCTTGCCTTCCCCACCCCACCCCCTCCTTATTACTGATTTTTCACTTATATTTCTATCATCTCTGTTTCATCACTGTACTACTATTGTTTCTGGGTTTGTGCACAGAAAAGTAATGGACATCTTAAAAAAACCAAAACCCACACCTCAGGTTACTGTCAGTCTGTTTTATTGCTGTCAGACAAAAAAAATTTTCCACATCAGGGGCATTTTACAGGTGGAAAAACCAGTAAGCCAACAGCCATTGTGCAATTTTGCAAGCTGAACTGTCAGAACTAAAGTGTCTGGGTTTCTGCCATCTTACACACTTCTAGGAGAAACAGCAGCTGCTTTCCTTTTGATCAAGCAAGACCTGGTTTTGGGGTGTGAGATGGGACCATAAGCTGAATGCTGCCTGTCCCATACCCTTTCTTCTTGAAATAAAGTGTTACCATCAAGGAAGTTTTAAGTTTTCATTAAATCAGGCAAGTTGTAATTGAATCTTGTATTTTTTTTAATTTATTTTATTTTTAAACCTTTTGCAAACCCTTTCCCTTCTAGTTCTTCATAAGCTAAGATATAATTTTCAGGTAATTTTTCTTTACTACTTTTCAATGTTTTGTTCTACCACTATTGACCAGCATTACAAGTGTCACTAGCACACAGAATTAAGTCAAAATGGAACTAGGCCAAGGTAGGAGGCCAGGCTGTGTCACACCTTTTTCCACTATTCAGTGATTAACTTACTTCACTGAAACTGCAGAGTACCAAAAATTTAAGCTTTTTTTTCCTTCAGTTTAACACATGAAGTAACACATTCAGGGAGGAGTTTAATTGCAGATATGCTAAGGCAGTAACAGAGCACAGAATTGTGAATAGACAAGACAGATCTAACACTGAGCAGTGTAAGTGTTTTTACTTTTCCATTTTCTACTCTGTAGATCACTCCAAATTTTATTACTAATAAAAGGAAAAAAAAAAAAACCAAACCCAAATTTTCTGCATCTCCACTCCTACTTGCACTTTCACTTGACAACTGGGAAAACAAAAAACTTTCCCATCCTTTGTTCATGTAGACAAACACCGGCCTCTTGGTTTTAACCCACGTACCACCGAAATGCACCTTGTTACTATTCTCCCCACCCCAAAAAAAATTTGAAGCCACATGGAAAAAAAAAAAAATCACAGTCATACTTGTTTCCTTAGAATGCCAGGCCCTATGTCATCTCTAATCCTATTTGATTTTTGTCAAGCTTAGTTCAGCTCCATTGTCACAGATGTGCAATCATTTTATTACTGTTCTAACGTTGTCACCTTTGCTTGATGCACTGCAGTCAGTATTGCCAGAAGTGTTATTCTCAAGATATAGAGCCCACAACCCACCAGAGACCAACGGTGTACGTATGTACCCTGCTGAGACATCCTTCCTCGTCTTTCATGCAGGTTTTGATCCGGAATAGTAAAGATGTCGGGTTCTGTGGAGGGAGTTTAATCAGCAGTCGCTGGGTGGTCACTGCTGCTCACTGCCTTGATCTCATCAGACCGCACCACGTTACTGTAGGTGAGTATAATTGGTATCTTGTATAAACACGAGGTAATCTCTTACAGAAAATGCACTTCGCATTGTACACGACCACAGTAAGGTACAGTTGAGAGACAGACGCATCTAACCTGACTCAGACTGACAGAACACATCGTGTTCTTGGCAACAGGTAAGTGCAGAGGGACTCCAGCTGGTCCCTTTTGGTTTCATGGAGAACCTGGGAGTGTAAGGCACAGATGTATCTTTTTCTGGCAAACTCTCCGTGCGTGGAGAGTGAGCACATCAGGGTACACATCAGAAGGAAGGAGCACTGGAGGTGGTGGGCTGCTCTTAAGTCAGTTTGGTTTTCAGTCAGTCTTACGGTTAGTTTCCTGGTGAGCTGCCTGCTTCTCACTACCCGTAACTGCCACAGTGCAAAGCCCCTCACCCTTGTAAGGTTACGGCACCAGTTACAGTAGCAGGAATTGGAATACCACAATAAACACAGTCTTGTGCTTGAAACCCCCAGAGAAGAGAAGTGAAGAGGAGCTGACAGAATACGGCACTGGCTAACTGTCAGGAAACAACTCTTCAGCCTTACCTCTGGCTGCATCTAATGCTTATGTCATGTTCCTGAGGGGGGGAACACAGTGTCACATGACAAACTGTTCAAAATAACATGCTTACTAAAAAGCAGTGACAGTATTTATTCACTGTGACATCCCTACCCAGGAGGCCATAGTCTCTGTCAGGGGCTGCTCCTGTTTTGCCCTTACAGAGCCTAAGCTCCATGTGCAGGATGGCAGCTGCAGCAGCAGCAATCACTGTTACAGAGCACCACGTGCTCTGGGCTGCGGCTCCTCGGCACAGAAGGTGAAAGCATTCGGTCACCATCCTTCCTCTTGCCCCATGACGATACCGTACAGCCCATGTGCAGTTTGCCTCACGTTTTAACTTGTCATGACTACAGGAGACTTTGACAAATATCAAAGAGAATTCAAAGAACAGAAGATCGATGTGGAACAGAGCTGGACACATCCACATTATGATTCAAATAACTACAACAGTGACATCGCCTTGTTGTACTTGAGCAGCGATGTTATTTTTAACGAGTACGTAATTCCCATCTGCCTCCCGAGCCCTACCCTTGCCAGCCTGCTCTCAGAAGAAGGACGAGTAGGGATGGTAAGCGGATGGGGCGCCACTCACGACAGAGGTTCAACTCTGCGCTTCCTCATGAAAGTCCGGCTGCCCATTGTGAACATGGAGACCTGTCAGCGGTCGACAGACAGACTCATTACAGACAACATGTTCTGCGCAGGTTACACCACGGAGGCTGCGGAGGCCTGCAAGGGGGACAGTGGGGGCCCTTTCACCGTGCCGTACCACAACACTTGGTTTCTCTTGGGTATTGTAAGCTGGGGTGAGGGCTGTGCTGAGAAAGGAAAATACGGTGTGTATACACGAGTATCCAACTACATCCCGTGGATTAAAGAGGTTGTTGAAAGTGTAGCAGATTCAGGAAACTTTTCCATTAACTTTTCTTAATACCATCATTAAAAACAGTTACAGTGTTCCAGTCTAAGACACTATGTAGTTCCTCTCCTTATCCTTAATGGTGTAAAATGAAGATTGTCTTCAAAGAAATTTTGAGTCTGTTCACTCAGCAATGGTTAAATTGTTCATTCGAATATTACCAAGTAAAATACTTGTGTATAATAAAGAACTGTTCTGTAAATAACAAAAGGAGACTACAACTTTTCTTAGTTTAAATTCCTATTGAAAAGGGTTTTTTAAGAAAAATAAAAAGCTTTCCATTTCTCAAGCCTACGTGCACAAAACCAAGCAAAGTCTCTCTGTGTGAAGTACTTGCTTAGAGAAGGAAATGCATTTCTGGTAGTGGTGTGTCCTCTAGTTATGAAAGGCCATGCTGAACACAGCGGTTAGGGAGCTGTGAAGTACAACTCTTACCTCAAGAACAATTCCATTTACTAAAATACAAATGTTTTCTGTCCGTGTGGAATCGGGGGGGTGTGAGGAATCTCCGTCTCCCACATGTCGGGGCACAGCTCCGCTCCAGCAGCTGGTGAGGAAAGGAACGGAGGTGGGCTACGTGCTCCCAGCCCCCCCGCTCTGGGCAGAGTAAGACATGTCGAACTACAAAACAGAGCTGCAGAAGGAACAAATAGAACTGTCCATTTTTCACACTAATTTTTCACACTAAAAAGATAACCCTTTTTTCTTTATTCTGAAGACACCTCCCACCACCTCATGTAGGCAATCTCTCTCCCCCAGGTTGATGAATGCCAGTAATTCAGACATTAAATGTTTGTGAACAGATTTGACAGGGAAGAAGCCAACACACCACCACAGCAAGCAACAGCTTTTCTGTCATCCCCAAAGAAGGATGGATTGTGTCCACCTACTCATCCCTTGGAGACGTCCATTTCCCCCCCAACTTAAGCAGCTTCACATACCTGAAAGTAGTGCTCAAAGCCAAAAATGCAAGTGAAATAAAATATCTGTGGGCCAGACTAATATCCCCCAATCAATTGTCCCTTTTGCGTACCTACACTGGCATCTTTGTAGAATTGCCTTTCTCTGCCGCATAAACAGGCAGTCTTTGCGACTCATGTCAAAAGTTGTTTTGATTTTGTGATCTTTCTTCCAATTCTTTATGAAGTTTTAATTTAAAAACCAATCAGCAGTCACGCTTATGGCAGGGGGTCTCCCTCAGCTTTGTTCAAAGCCTTGTAAAAGTCCATTATCACCATTCCAGAAGAAACCACCTTTTTGTTTGCCTCAGAGCCCATGTGATGCTGAGCTATTAATTTTGATGGCAAGAAGCTGTTAGAACTGCACAAAGCCACCAGGGTCAGTACTTTAAGGAAACATCTCTTAGGGTTTTAAAACAGAGCTACAAAAAAAAAAAAAAATTGGGAGAGAAGGCACAGACCTTTAGGACTGAACAGAACCTAGGTATATGAATAGCCATTACACTCTTATTTTTTTCACTCAGTTGCATCTGCCAACAAGGCAATAAGGAATTCCCCATCTTTCAACAAATTCTTAATTAAAAATGGGAGAAAGAAACCAAAGCCTTGAAACTCTGAGCACGCTAAAGCCACACCGCTGAGGTGAGTCACTGTCCCATAAGCATACCTGGCAAGAGCAGGTGAAGTATTCTCGCCAGTCGAATCTCTTCAGTAGGCTCCGTCCAGCGCAGGCAAATCTGCCTTCAGCTTTTGCTTAAGGTCACATCCCAGCATTCAGCTCCATTTCACCATCAGTCTCACAGGAGCGTACTTCAAACATGACCACCCCCATGCTTACATCCTCTCCATTACCGGTGCCAGCAGATGCCAGAGGTACTAAGCGCCCCTAACCCAGCCAGCACCAAAGAACTGACAGAATTACAGAACACATTGCAGAAACAGGCTGTGCCCCCCCGGAACGAAGGCAGCTTTCTTACTGAAACCCCAACTGCCAGTTATCCATGCGAGGAGAGACTCCTCTTCTTGTAGGCAAGCTCAGACAAAAACAGTTTTCAGAGGTAGAGGTAAAGAAGCAGAGGTACAAAATGTTGCTCTGCTGGCTTTCTACAGCACCGGGGACAAAGAAATAGCAGCATTACCCCCTCACGCAGCCACGAGACCCTGCTCCTTATCGCTGGAAACATAAACCTTTCAGAAAGTCACACACATTTGAGCTGCCCAAACACCAAAGCCGAACAAAAAAAGAAAACTGACATAGCTTTCAACTCTACAAAATGAAGTCACAGCAGTATCAAGCCCTACAGCAAAGGCTCCACACAGCCCATCTAAGTGCTGCATACCATAAAGCACCCAAAAGTGTCCAGCGATCTGATAGTCATCTTGTGCAATCTCGCTAACCTTGATTCCAAAGTCTAGCTTATTTAAAAAATCATCTATGCTATCACACATCAGAGAAACACCCTTCAGCTGCAGCGTTTCGTTCTCCAGTAGCAGTCACCGTTGAAGGCTTTGCAGGTTGTACGGAGGATCAGTAGTCGTGAAATACTGCTCTCTTGCGTCAAGTATTTTAGCTGGAAGCCGCTGGAATTTTTAGTGGTTGGTCTGCTGGTCTCTTGAACTTCACATCATGCTTTCATGAAAAAGTGAAATCCTTTGAGTGGAAGATGGTCAATATTTCTAACCAAAACCCGTACATGTAGATCTCCAAAGACAAACCAACTGATTAATAAAGCACTGAGTAAAGAGGAAATGGACAATGGTAAACAGAAAATTAACAGTTAGAAGCTTTTCCACATACCAGGTGGTCTATACATACATTCTCTTCAGCAATCAACAGACAGCCCCCCAAAAAAACAGAAGATGTTTTATTGTCTAAAGTGTTGCAATACAACAAATACGTGATCTGTACAAAGGACATAATAGCGCAAGTTTAAATACAATCAGGAGAAAGAAGTCCCCATATTCACAGTCCTCAGACAACATCTTATACCAGAACCTGAACCAACAATTCAAAGATTCACTAAAAAAAACCCCAAACAAGTTGTTAAAAAATTTAAAGGTCTCCAACGAGTCTATGGGTGTATTGTCTTACAGCAGAGATCATGGGGTATTCTGTGAAGGGTCACAATGGCATCTTATTGCCCTCAATGCTGATTTTCACTGCATGGGCCGATCTGCTTTTTTTCCTGATATCTGTGAATTTCCGCATCTGTTTGTCCAGTCGACTCACCCCTTTCTTAGAGGTCCCCTGGAACTTAAAAAATAAAACTAATAATTACCACTGAAAAAAAGCAGAAGTCCCAGAGGTTTAAGAAAAGCGACACATGCAAGGTTAAACCTGCAAGAGGGAGCTGATGAAGCCACTGGTTCCAGCTGGGTGTAGGCGTGTGCACGCAGTCTCTCCCCGCAAAGTGGATAAAACGGTTCCCCCAATATATTCGTCACATATAGGGAGGTGGTCACGCTCACAAACATGACACAGTAAAGCTTTCACATTACAGGGATTAATAACCACGTTAGTTGTTCACATGCTGGCTGAATACACAGTTTGGAACAGTTTTGTATCTATATTGGCTGGAGTTTAGTGACATACACTGCACTATGGTGTCATACAGACAGGCTTCCTGTGGGGGGAAGATTTTTAGGTACAAATACACAGTAATTGAGGTGGATTGAGTTGACATATCAGTTCCAAACCACAAATTATTTTAAAGGTCACTGATTAGTACTTATAAAGCAAGAGATTATTGGGAAAAAAGGTGTGTAGGGGGAAGCAAAAGAAATACCTAAGCTGATCAGACAAGTTATTAGAAGAGTTATTGTGTTTCATCTCTATATTTTAACTGCAAATGAAAAATCGAGATGATGCAGCAGTTATTTTGCACAGATTACATACAGTGATTCTGTAAAGAAACACCACTGAAGACAAACAGAAAGGACCTTCCAATCCATAGCTACTGCTTTCTAAGAAAGCAATTTCCCCTAACTAGGCAACAGAAACAATAAATGATGGAAACTTAACACCTTTTAAGTGTGGGAGAAACAGAAATATCCAGAACATGCTACTTAATATCTGACAGAAAACATGTATTAGTAACTGAACCTCTTGCTCCCATCACTGAGGAAGGTGCTCCTGATACACTGATTTTAAATAAACTTTATTCATAAAACTGTTCACTATTCATTGAAATTATATCTGGAATTTCACAGTGATTTTTTTAAAAAATTTTTTTAAAAACACCACAAATAAACATGAATCTTAAACTCAACAGTTCTCTACCATTTGTGCTAGCATCTTCCTGTCACTACTAGTTCGTGGCAGCCCTGTTCACAGAACTGAAATGCAGACTAGAAATTGTCAGAACAATCCCCACACTGATGTATGGCATTGATTGATCTCCCTCCACCCCGCATTCACAGCGGGGGATTCTTCCCCCTGGTCTGCAGAGGTCTTCTACAGAGGTCTTGTTCTCTGCCTTCTGTCAACCACCCCTAAAGTCACACATCAATCAACTTCCTTAAACGAGTAGGTGTGAAAAATACCTTACTATGGACCAGTGAAATGTCAGCCATGGATACTGGTACACAGTGACATGAGGTCCTATACTAAGGGCTAAGAATTCCTGTATGTCAGTTCAGGTAAACCTTGAGAACCTGATTATGTCAGGACAGCATTCAAAACCACAGGTGGTACAAAGCCATTTTTGAGTACAGGTATTTTCTTCATTTAACACCTGGCATTCGGGTACCCTGAAGCTGTCGAGGCAGGTATCACGGCAAACGTTATGTGCTACAGCCTATTTTTTCCTGTACAAGTTACCTTTTAGGTCACAGTACAGACATGAGAGCATACGAGGAGAGTTTTCCAAGTTTAAGTTAGGGTGTACACACTCCTTCCCTGTATGTGCAAACTGCCAACAGCTGAAGCACATGCACTGTTCACACCTCCCTTGAGGAATACCTCTCAAACTTGGGGAAGGCAGAGTGTCATGGCTACAGGGGCATCCTGTTGCCTTCAATGCTGAACTTGATGGCCCGATGCACTTTGCTGAGTCGTTTCTGTTCAGCAAACCGTCTCTTGTGTTTTTCCAAGCGACTAATACCTCTCTTAATAGTCCCGGGCTAGAAACAATATCTCAATTAATGCACAGAAGGAGAGATAACAGCAGAAAGCACAGTAATTATTACTTCTTCCATTTACATGTGTTCTACCACTTACTCTGCTTTTAAATTAATCTGCACAAGCTAGACAGATGAACCAAATAAAGCAAGGCAAAGGCCTCTACTGAAGCTGTTAATGTTTACCAAAACCTCAAAGTTTTCCCAAACTGCAGTATTATCACTAGAACATGACACAAAAACTGGGAGTGGTATAAAAACAGCAGCAACACACTTATTGAATTGCAGCTTTAGTTCAAAATACTCTAAAATAAGAGGCCTGTAATCAGATTCTCACCCTAGAGAGGAACTCTAGAACAGTTAACATGAAAATCTCTTTTTAGTTAAAGAAGCAGCAATACTGAGTGAAAGTATTTGATGAGCTTAAAGCAGCCCACTTGACAGCAGAACTTATTGTCTACTCAAATCAGAAGAGGCACTTAAAAGAACTACCGTACTGTACAGTAACCACAGCAATAAGGTGAGAGATTCCCGGGCTTAATCAGAGACAGCTCAGGTACAGAGTTCCTAGGAGAGGCTAAGCTATCCCCACACCACGGCGCTTACCCTGGAGGACTCCATCTCCACATTCCACTTTGGCCTGACCACATAGTCCTTGTTGGAGGGCATTGGCACCCTCGCACGGGCACAGAACCCAGGATCTCCGGGTCTAAGAGCCCTGCAGAAAAATAAAAGATGTGACTGCTAGGGACAAATCTTATGCAAGAAAAGAAGTACTAGCAATATATTGTGTTCTACCTCTGAAACACACTGCATAACCGTTGCCTCTAAAATCTCAAAACACATTGCATATTGTTAGTAGCACCGAAATACTTTTTTTTCTAATAAAAATAAATAAAAAAAAAATTCCAACCTACTTTTCCTCTCCAGTTAACACTTTCTCCAGGTCTCTGCGGGGAGTCTGACCACCAGAGCTGCAAGAAAAATAAATTTTCTAAGCATCTTTACAGAGAGAAAAATAGTAATTTTAAAAGACAGTCAAGTGTGGTAAAAGACAAGAGAGAGGTCATCACTCATTATCCTTTTAATTCCCTTAATATTAACACACCACTTCATTTTTCTTGACAGAGTCTTAGAAAGAAAGATGGATTTCATGTTTCTGCCTATTATTCCTACCTGCTCAATCTCCTTCGCTGAGGCATCTGTTCCAAATCTCTCTGCTCCCTCTCTTCTCTGGTCATGCCTTTGTAATTTGAGGTAAGGCCAAAGATGGGTCGAGACCATTCATCTATTAAAAAAAAAATTGGTTAATGAACACTAGGCCTCTGAAGTTTAACTCCAATCCCTTCTGGTGACCAAATACCACTTTCAACATTTATGGAAAATATTTATGCTTCCTTTCAAAGAATTGATTTTTGAGTTCTTGATATTTCAGGGAAATCCAGCCTTGTGGACAGTAAGAAAGAGCTTTCATCCATGAAGTCTCTTGCTGTTGCCTGCTCTTTTAGAATCTCTCTCAGCTCTTAGAATACTTAGTGTCAGGAACTCCTGCACACCACAGTGAAGGTTATTTAAGAAATAGGCAAAATAGTTCCTAAAGGACATCAGTTTATAATCAGTGTGCAGTCCTTCAGGATGGAATGCACTACACATGGACTACAGCTGGTAAAGAAGTAAACTTTCAGTCATCCAAGATCTCTCTAAAGTCTGTGGAACAAAGAGACTTCTGCCAGCACATCCCTGCCTTTGCAGCATATACACGAGGTCTGGACAACTAGCCAAGAGAGAATCTGGGCAAAATAAATGCCATCCTCTGGCTGAGAACAAGAATAAAAGAAACAGAAAAAGGTGCACGCGGAAGTTAATGTAACAACATTTGTTAAGAGCTCTACAAACAAAGCAATGAAACAGATTAGTGAGATCCTACATTGCAGAACTAATTCTATAACAGATGACAGAAAAAAAACATGCCACAGAGAGACCGATGCAGAAATTAAATTATCGGTGAAATCTCACTGACGCAAGGCAAAGGGAGGTTTACATACTGATTAGCTTTCCTGCCATATCCTTGTTAGGTCTTGACTCTTTGGGGTGTTTGTAAAGGTACATCACAGCTCGACCAATGCCACTGTGCTTCAGGGTCTCTTGGCTCACACTGGGCAGCTGCAGGATAAAGGAGAAGTCAGAAATCAGCAAGAAATGGCGTCTGAACATTAATGGCGTCATTGAACTTCACAAAAAGACAAAAACCCACCTTCACAATAAGCTTGAAATAATAATTCAATAATAATAAGCAACTTGTATTTTTTCATTATCCCACTAGGAATTAGTTAAAGTATCAAACACCAAAACCTAGAAATTTGCCTTAACATTCTGGGGTTTTATACACAAAATTAAGTTTCCAGAACTAGTTACTCCGAATGCTGTTTTGCTTATATTACCCAAGAATTGAGGTACTGCCTTCAAAGCATTCATTTTATAAAGATAAAAAACTTATGTGGCAAAAGCATTCAAGTAATCAGCTTAGCTACAAATGCTAGTAGTCTACACCAAGTATGATGGGCTTTCTAGTGCACCCCACACTTCAACAGTCACTTTCTATTGCACCACACAATTTAAATAGATTTATCAAGCATCTAGAAATGCCATAGCACATAATTCTCAGAGAGGGTAGAGAACTTCATGTCTCTAGTTCACCTGAGACTCTCAGAAATGTCTTCTGGCCTGCTGCTAGTAGATCTATTCACATGTTGTGAACACGAGCAAAATTTTTGTAACAATTAAGTGCCTGAAGTTCCCTAGCCAAATTTTGTTCAGCTAGACAAGATGTCTACAACTAAGACTGATTAAAATGATGCAACTTTTAAACACCTCTATTTTGCACTTTGCTTCCTTGTGTATATCACTGCATGGTCCATCAGTAGCAGCTGCTGTACATTTATCAACAAGTGTAAAGCACATGATTATAAAACCATGGGGAGGCCACAAATCAAGTATGGTTAAAAGTCAGTTTCAAACCTCTTGCAGGATCTTGAGAAGCTCCTCTCGTATCTTTAATGCTGGCAGACTTCGGTCTGGAAGAGGAGAAAGCCACTCTTTGATAGCAGACATAACACCACTATCAATGAAAGTTTCTTTGAGGTCCTGCCTAGAAAGTTTAAAGTAAAGAGAAGCCACAAAGTCATATAATAATACACCAAAATCTTAAGATGTGCTGTTCCTTCAGCACGATAGTGCATTTGAGTTTGCTCCATGTTAATTTAAACAGGTAAAATTACATAGAATTTTAGGGTTTTAAGGCCACTTAGCTTCAGCATTTACTTGGAAGAAAAGAAGTGTTTCACTGCATACTCAGTACAACTCTAATGTCACTCCATGAAATCTACCAAATTCCCAGTATTCCCCAAGATGATGATTAACTGGGAGAATGACAACTCACTTTTTAAGATGCATAACTACAGTTGGTAGCAAAGTTAATTTCTTTAGTGCTGGTTTCTTTTGTGTATTCAGCTGTCGATCCTCCTGTAGGGAGTTAAAAGTAAGCACAAGTTAATCAAAAGAAGAAATTGGCAACTCTCATCCTTTAAAACATCAACAGGAAAAAGTTTAGTCTATTAAACGAGAAGTGCAACTTTGGCAGGATTACACTAACTCTGTACCCTGTTCCATGTTCCTGCAGCCCCAAAACACATTATATCATGACTTCTTTAAAAAAAAAAAAGGGGGGGGGGGTGTCCCACCTCAGTCAACATTTTCCTTAAAAGCATCACATAAAGAGATCCCCCCCTAAAATTAATTTTTTTTTCCTACTTCATGATTCACAGTTATTGCAATAAACTGTCCTCCATGGTAACCTAGAAATTTGTTAGTAAAATTTCACTTGAACAACAGGAAAATAACCAAAACGGGAAGTGAGAAAACATATACTCACTTCACCTACGAATGTCAGTGGATAACCTGGAGGTTTAGGATGAAGGATGGCGCAGGTAACATAAGAGCACACAGATGTGCATCGTGCTAAAACTAAGTCTGGGTTTCAAAGTGACTATCATCCAAGGCCACAATGTCACTATCTGTTCAGTGCTTGAGCTCACGTATCAAAAGGACCCATTACAATCAAGAGATTTATGTCCTGCTGTGGCAACTCCTTTCCACTCATCTTAATCCACAGAAGGCTCTTTCTGCATAATGTTTTTTTTATTGCAAGGGAGGAGATTCTTCTAATACCCCTTTCCCCTCTTCACGCCCCAGAATGGTTTGACAGGCACACGCTAGAGAACTAAAGACATCACAACACTGGAGCTCAGCTCTTCCTTCTCTCCAGCATTTCAAACTTTATGGCTTCATTTGAAACATCTGGCTGTCATCTTGTCCAAGAAAGACCTATCAAGATCAAGCAAGTCTCAGTTGTCTCCCAGATCGCTCTTTCACTCTTCCCTTTCTCCCCAAACACATTATGCTTTTCTTCTTCTCAGGAAGATTCTTTTTTTCATTGTTGCTATTTGTAAGACTCCTCTTTCCAAAGTTCTGTATATTGCCCCCAACTGGTTTTAATTATTTTTGCAGTGCTATTCATTAATTTGATTGCTACTCCAACCACAATGACAAAAGGCAAGACCCCAATAAACTTTGAACAGTAACATTAAACATGAACTTGCCATAATTCTGTTGCTCTACCATGATTTACCACAGTACTTTCATTCAAACAGTTTAGAAAAGGATTCTTCTCAGGCACAGCCACTGAAGTACTACATATGCTAGTAATTGTATAATGAAATTAAAACATAGTTCCTTTCTCAGTGTTTGATATAGTTATTCATGTAGTTTATAGAACACGCATACCTCCCTTTTTATAGGGCAGTTGATCTCAGCTGATCAAAGTTTAGCAAGTTAACTAATCTTAATCTTTAAAATGAATACGTATTTTCTCCAGATTTCACCAGAAGAAAGTTTTGTTAATTCAGAATAGCAAAGTAACATTTAAACAGTTACTTAGAAATTGTACGCTACGGAAAGCTTCCATATTACTACTCCTGAGTATCAGCTATATTTCTGTATTTTACTGATCACAAGATTTTCCCATAGAATGGAACTAGATTTGAAGGTGTCTTTGGAGCCTAGAAAACCCACCTCAGCAGCTTCGTTCATCTTCACAATCATAGCACTGACCACATCATCCGCATCACTAATAAAAGTTCCACCATCACGGTTTCGTCTACGCTTGCCACTCATACTCTTCTTTCGTTGCAGCATCATGTCAAAGTCTGACATGAAGTCCATGCTGAAACACAAGAAGAGAAGTTGCTGATGGTCAGAAGAAGGTTGATCTTGCTGTCATTGTAGGAAATAATTTTGTATTTCTGTAGTGTAAGCATTCAAAAATTCTCCAATAAATGTACAAGCATTACGTCTCAATGCCCCTGTAAGATCATCAGTTACCCACAGTATACAAACTGGGAAACTAGCAAAGGGCTTCAATGGCTCTGAGATGCCTTCCTAAGTTGCAAGACCCTGCTGAAATAGCTGACGACGTGCACACATGTGATACCCTGGGTTCAAAATATACTAAAGCTGTCACTGAAGTTGACAAAGATTTACCTTTCCTGTACCTGCAATACACTGCTCTGATGCTACTGAAGCAGATAGAAAGGAGACATGCTAATGGCAAGTCCTGCCATACCTTATCCCTTACACCAGCAGAGAAACACACCAGTGACTCCAATGCTGAACTGCTAGAAATAGATGTTTGTTTCATTAGATATTAATTTCACTCAGGTTTTGATACAAACCATAAAATACTGCATAGGTAATCTGCTATGGACTGCCAAGTGACTAAACTATACAAGCTGGGAGAGGACCTTCTGTCATTGTTTATGAGAACACACTTTCTGTAAAACAGTCCCATGCCTTCCTAGACTGAGGAGCCCCTTCACTGAAGTCTTGCATTTGCTATTAACAAAGGAGTATGTAACACATTAACTTACTGCTTCCCTCTTTTGATATTATCATCAGAGTCTGATTCATCTGCTGTCTCCTTCATGTCTGCATCACCTTTCTCTTCCTCCAAGTCTTCCTGGTTAAAACCCTGATGGGTAAAGACAGTGAAAGTCAGTGTACGGATTCAAGAGTGAGCATCTACTCATGCACCTGACTGATACTTGAAAAGCTTCAGGTAAGTCTGCAGAGGATCTAGAAGAAAGAGTAACAAAGGCTTCCTAATTCCACCTGTGGCTTTCACAACAATAAGTCTCCCAACAGAAGAGCTGTAAATGTTACTTAACCTAAAGACGACCTCAGTGAGTGCCAACCCTAAATCTTCCCTACTGAAACAGCATATCCTTGAACGTGAATTAAAACCCAAAGGGGCATTCTGAAATACCTTCCCACGAAGATTAGATCTAGAAATTGAACAGAAAAGACATCCATAATAACACTTACTGTAAATTCCTCCTCTTCCTCATCACCAGATTCTCCAAATATATCTGCAATCAGGTTCCTGTGAAGGTAACAGTAACATTCTTCTATTTAGACAGCAACAGTGAGAAGTGCATTTTGTGCAAAATTTCTAATGACTCTGTGGAGATCCACAGATTCTGCCAACTACTACTGACTTTCCTCTTCACACCAGCAATGAAGGTGGACAATCATTCTCTGGCTGGGATTCACCCACTCTCTACTCATGATCAGTCTCACTATCTGCAACCCTGAAGGAAATCATATTCCCAGAAGCACTTACTCTTGTTCATTTCCAGATTCACTGTCACTGCCAAACAGATCCTTCTCTTCTTTTTTCTTCCCAGCATTCTCTTTTCTTTCTTCTTCTTCTTCTTCACTATCTGATACAATGTTTTTCTTCCTTTTGTCAGATTTCTCTGAAGCAGCATCACTGTCTGATTCCTCAACATCAGAAAGGATTCGTACTTTTTTTGCAGCTGCCAACAGAAAGGAGCATTACTACATGTCTTAGTAACAAGGGGGACTACTGGTACTCTCAAAAAACTATTCTCTCAAATTCGATTTGGACAAGAGGGAAGTTGACTAGCCTTCCTAAACAGTATCATTGCCATTTCTTAAAAAAAAAAAATAAAAAATAATCCATTCTAAAGCCTGTTTTATTCAGTCAGTAACTGAAGTTTCCATACACCACATCTATCCATTAAAACGTGCAATTTCAAGACTGAGTCTCACCTCTACTGCATGAAAAAAACAGTGGAAAAATTTACTAGAGAAATAAAAACTAGAGAAATTACTAACAGGAATAATCAACACAACAACAGATACCAGTATAAATCAAGATCACTACAGTCTTCTCTTTTACTTCTATTAGATCTACTTATTACTCATAAGTATTAGACATACATTCACACAGAAATGCAGTTAGAACAGCCTCTACAAATACGGTTGTGCTCTAAAACCAGATTTGCTTTACGGTTTCACATTTATCTTAGATGCTTTCTTCACATAAAAGCAATAATTTAACTCGAACACTATTGCTTGTTATATCACACTTTTATTTTCACACTATAGTTCCTTACGTGTTTTCTCATTTTCATCCTCACTGTCAGAAAGGATAGCTGTTTTCCTCTTCACTGTCTTCTCCTCCTCTTTCTCATCTTCATCAGTGTCTGATATTTTTCGTCTCTTAGGACCCTCCTCTTCACTGTCAGAGCCCTGAAATCCTTCCCTTACACGTTCATTATCTGAATGATGAGAATCATTCTGCACCTCCTCCTTCCTGTCCTCCCCATCACTGTCCTCAGACTCTATTTCTTGTTTGTGTCTAGAAACTTCCTCACTCTCCGAGTCGCTGGCCGGCTGCTTGTGGAGCTCCTCACTCTCCGAGTCGCTGGCCGGCTGCTTGTGTGATTCCTCATTTTCAAAATCGCTACTGTGATCCCTGTGAGGTTCTCCATTTTCAGAGTCACTTGCTTGATGATTTAAGGCATCTTCATTTTCAGAGTCACTTAAGTGCCGATTTGGATGGTCCTCAGTATCAGAATCACTGTCTTTCCCTCCATGAGCTGCTTCATTCTCCGAATCACTTACATTGTGATTTGGAGGCTCCTCATTATCTGAGTCACTGTCTTTTTGCCTTGGGATATCTTCATTTTCAGAGTCTGTCATATGAGGCTCTCCCATTTGCCCATCATCTTCTCCATCAGTGTGTTCATTCTGAAAGAGAAAAATAATCTCAGGCAACTAAGCAAAACCAACTTACAAATAGCAACAAAAAAGTTCTGATTTTTTTGCTTGTCCTTCCTCCAATTTTATTACCTAGGGTACGGCAAACTAATACTTTCTATACAGAAATAATTATTAGACAGTTTGCATCAAAGGACTACCAAATACTTTAGATCGAGAAAAATATTAAGAGATCAGTGGAAGTCTGTCCACCCTGCAGCTCAATCGTATTTTGGAAATGGTAAAAGAATTTGAAAAGCACTCAAATAAACATGTGTAAGAAGGGTCCAGTTCCTAGAGGGTAAATGCTTAATGCTTTTATTTTTAAAAAGTCAGGCCTTCAAAATGGTTCAGTCCAAATCCCCAGTAATATGGCAAGAAACAGTATCCCACACTTGCCATTTTCTTTTTCTTAAGATATCACACAGGTGTTTTTTGTATGAAACACATTTTACTGAAACTCCACATGCACTACTTTCCAAGTGAAGCTCAAAAGAGCTTCTTTGCCAAGGAAACTTATTTAAAAGCACGTCAAGACCATAAACCTACAAAATAACAGGAATAAAGTTTTAGTCAGACCTTTCAGAGTATTTTGTTAACAAGTTTTGTGTTTCAACATGTAAGAACATAACAGATTCAATGCTTCTCTCCCTTAAGCTGACAGCTCCCATGCCAATCCACACACCTGAGAACCTATGCATAAATACACTGATCTTAAAACTTCAGAATTGAAACACAATCCTTTATGTCTTTTTCTATATGGCAAAAAAAACCTGAGCCACACCTTCCATTTTTGGAAAAACCTTTCACGAGCCACCTGTCAATATCATTGCCAACCCCATCTTGGTTTATCTTTCCTACAACATCTAATTTCTACTTGGAAAAAAAAAAACCTCAATTGCATTTACCTGAGAAAACAAAATTAGACTCTTGGAACACTCATTTCATTAACTCAGTATGACTCTCACAGTCACTGTCACAATAACCTCATTTTCATTTGAAAAGATCAACTGTAAAAAGAACTACTTTTCTACATACTCAACTCCATTCTCCAGCCAGGCTTCCTCAGGGGTGATTCTGCCTCTCTCAGCTATAGACTCCTTCCACTAGCATATTTGCAAACCAAGTACTTATTGTCCTAGGAGATACTTTAAGATCTGTGTGTTCTGGAACAAATCTTTTTAGTCAGCAATTTAATTTCCTTTCTATCTATTTTTCTTTTCTACAGTCATTCTACTCCCAGAGCCATACACAACAATGCAGGTTTATCTATCCTACATCTACAACAAACACTATTATTAATCTTTAAAATGTATGATTAAGAAGGAATTTTAAACAAAATTAAACTTTTAATTGCTTTTAGGAACTATTCCCTCCAGAATCTAAGCAGTAAATAACACTGCTTCTTAAGATTTTGGACTTTACACATTTGTTCCCTTGGCTAGCACTTGATAAAATAACAACTTCTAAATAACTGCAGAATCTCTAACAGGAATTTACCGCACAGTGGAAAAAAATCAGGACTTTGTAATTTTAAAACATGCATTCAAATACAACATCATTGTTTCCATGTTACTTAACGCTAGCTACAAAATCACTGGTGTGATAACCTGAGTGAGTAATTTTCTCTCTATTGCTTGTCCCTGTCTCTACAGCTATGCTAGTCTTTTGAATCACACTGGTGGTATTATTCAGTATTTCTCATTTCTCCTTACAGAAGGAAAACATGGTTCTGCTAAAACCTGAAGTTGGAATTTTAAAGGATTAAATATGGATATTAAGAAGTTACAGAATTGATGATGTACAGCTGAGGAAGACCATACATACACACACTCAACTGCTCTCTGTTCATTATGGGGATCTTATTTACGCTTTTTTAATTACAAAAAAATTAATTTGATTGCACTCTCCTGTCCAGTATCTCCTACATAAACTAACAACATGTGTATGTGATTATTTTCTCTGACTGTATGATTGAAGATTTAAGAAAACTGCAACTGCAAACAGAAGAGGAAACAGATTTTACAGCAGGTTAGGTTACAGGTAATGTCATTATGAAGTATTGAAATGCAGAGGTCTACACTGAAATCGATGTTTATAATAATAGAAATTCATTAATCTTTATTTTCCTACCATTTAATTTTTGGTGGGTTTGTCCTCTCATTTCAGAAGCCTAATGCTGAATAGGTATTGATAATTATGTCAGCAGTAGTAAGGGATTTTGCTAAACAAAACCAAGGAAAACAATACAAATCCTTCTGTTCCAACCACTGGGCTCATCTCCTTCAAGACACCTTCCAGACTGCCAGTCTAGAAAGTCTTTGGTGAACAAGTAAATGAAAAGAAAAAACAACTGAAATTCATAATGATTCTTAACCACTCAATGTTTCTAAGGTCAGAAGTATGGCTGCAGGTTATATATCCACCTATTCAGAATATATTACTACATCACAAAGAACTTGCTATGCAAAATACTCAGTAAGAAGTCATTACAATTATACATCAATATTACTGAAGCACTTAACAACAAATCTGTTACAGCAAACTGACAATCACTCTTGAGAACGAAGATGTTTGAGGAGAGGGAGCAGACATGCATCCTAATTAGCTCACACTGTGATTATACAGTGCTCTACACCACAGAATCCCAGTGGTTACAGCAGCTGAACTCTGCTGTGATATAATCACCTACAGAAGAACCATTTAGATAATACAGGTGCCGCTACATAGATTGGGCGGACAGGCACCATCTACTCTAGTCCTGAGTCTGGAAAGCACAACCAGAGCTAACCCAAAAACCAGAGAGTTACATTAATTAAGTCAGTAAGCCCCACAGAGAGATGACACACACTACCTCAGACTCAGCACGTGAACATAACTGCGCATCTTCTAAAGCTGAGACAGAGCTGACCTGCTCAGAACCTACATGGAACAGACAGGCCCTGTCCATAGCCATCAGTGCAAAGGTCTTCTGAATACAATTCATGAATCTGTGAATGTTTTGGAGTATACTTGATATAAAAAGGGCATGCAACTTTACAGTAAGATGACTAAACTCTGTAGGATGGTATCCCCTCCACCACCACCCCCCTTCTGTTTTTTACTAGTTCGTCTCTAAAAAGATGTTTTCAGAGAAACCAGTATGTAATTTTGGAGTTTTCTATTTTTCCTTTTCCAAATATTTAATTAAAATAAAAGATCAGACATCAAAAAAACAAGTAGGTCTCAGGTAATTTCTACTGCATTTTTCTCAAATTCCTTTGCTTTCTTTTCTTCCTCCTCTTTATCTATAAACATTTTAATTGAGATGTCCTTATTTGTTTTAACTGAAAGAATTCTATAACATGAGGCTTTAGTACAGTATAAAGTAAGGAATACATTAAAATCAAATTTACAGTGTTATCCTTCTACATAAAAGTTTCCGTTAGCAAGTAGTTTATTGGATCAACATGCAACCACTTTTAAGAGGTACTACATTGTTAATTTAGTAAGTTCAACAAAATTGACCCATCCACTACAATCTTCTCATGAATGACAATCGTTAAACTAAGGCATACATGACCATCACAGGCAGATCAGCAAGCTTCTCTGTTTTCAGAACTGTAAGATATTTGTATGTTTGTTAACAGTCACACTCAACCATAACTTAATTCATGAAGACAGCAATGACTTGGTGAAAGTGTAAGAATCTAAGTCATTAAAGATTTCCATATAAGCCTGACTTGTACAAACACTGTAAACATGATTTCATATTCATTACTGTACTAAAACTATGTGTTATCTAATTCTATACGTCTAAAGCAGAATCGGTAAGGACATCAAGGAGAACATTTATAGATAAAGTGGGATTGGGGGAAGGAAAGCCAGAAAAGAATTGTGGAAAAGAAAAACCCACATACCTGAGACCTACATAAGTAACTCCTCAGGATTCCCCTTTTCTTTAAAGTTAAGAACCTGAAAAAAAAGTTTGAAAGTTTAAAACTTCAGTTCTTTACATCTGAGTTCTAAATTAGAGACGAAATAGTAATTAAATAGACTTAACTGATGAGGCTGTCTCAAAGGTTTTATTACCTTTGAGTGTCATTCCTCCCACACATTCCTAAAGGTGAAGGAAATAAGAGAATATTTAGGGTAAATAATATGATAAATCACTGAAAGCTACTCCTTTCAGAGACTGTTCCACATTATTGCATTTTGAGTTGTATTTTTAATTTGATGTAGGG